CCGTCGGCTCCCCCCTTCCGGGGCCGCCCAGCCGCCCGGCTCTGTGCGCAGGCTCGGCGCTGTGGCTGGCGGGCTTGCTCATCAACCTGCACTCCGACCACGTCCTCCGGTGCCTCAGGAAGCCGGGGGAGACCGGCTACAAGATTCCCCGAGGTGCGTGGGGCCGCGCGGTCCGGGCACTCGGGTCCGCGGGGGAGACCCGGCTGCCGCGGAGGCCGCCCCGCGGGAGCGGTGGGCGGGGCCGGCCTGGGTAGTGGGCGGCCACTGGGCAGGAGGACGCGCCTTCTGCCTGGTTGGAGAGGGGACGCGCGTCGCGGCAGTGGGAGGCCCCCAGCAGCGCCCGGGGCTGCCCGAGGGGTGCAGGGCGCCCCTCCCTTGCCCGCTGCCGACCTCTGCCCATGGGCTGCGCAGCCTCCAAGGCCTGGCCCGGGAGCCTCCCCTCCCGCCCGTTCCTGACCCCGAGTTCGTCCAGCCCCCTTCCCGTGTGGTGGGGAGGTGCGGGCCCCCCCCCCAGTGGCCCGGGTGCCCTCTGCCATCCCTGCCCGATGGTCCGTGGTGGTGGGCGCCCCCTCACTGCCAGGGGCCATGTGCGCGTGGCCAGCGGCCCAGACCTCCTGTCCACGTGGCTAGGCGTTTTTGCAGCGGGCCTCTGCTGGGTTCCTGAGGAGTCCGCCATGCGGCGGGTCCAGCGAGGACACTTCCCGGAAGCGCAGGGCCAGAGGCTGCCTGGCGCCTCCTCCCTCCCCCCACCCCCCATGCAGCCTCTGCACATGGCCTCAGTGCCCCCAGCTGGTGTAACGAGGCGCCGACATCTGGTGTCCAGTCAAGGCAGCTCTGCCCCTGGACCGGGTGGCCGAGCGGAAGCCTCCTCCAGAAGCCACCGGGTTCGTCTGGGGGACCCCGGGCCTCAGGCTGAGTCCAGGGGCCCTGCCTTGTCTTCCAGGAGGCCTCTTCGAGCTCGTCACCGCGGCCAACTACTTCGGGGAGGTGGTGGAGTGGGGCGGCTTCGCGCTGGCCAGCTGGTCGGTGCAGGGCGGGGCCTTCGCCCTCTTCACCTGCTGTATCCTGTTCTCCCTGGCCCAGGAACATCACCGGTCAGTGCGATGCTCTCACCTCTGTGTCACCCGACGGTTTAATGCTTGAACGTGGTCTCGAATGCCCGCGTCCAGCTTGACCCCAGGCCTTAGCTAAAGAGGCCTGGGTCGCATAGAGGTCCTCACGCTGGCCGCTGGGGGGGTCATCCTTCACGTCAGTGTGTTCCCCAACCCCACCGAGCCTCTGAATTTGTGTGCTGGACTCGAAGGTCAAGTTCAATGTCAGTCGGGTTTGGAGCTCTGACCTGGACCAACATGGGACCCCTATGATAGTCGTATAACCATAGGGTACCCTGTGACAGGGGGTCCCTCCAGCTGTAGGGCCTGGGTCCCCCTGGGGGTGCTGGGCTCTGCACCCACGCCAGAGCCCCACGGTCCTCCAGAATGCAGGGTCAGTTTTTACTGGGGCCCCCAGAGCGCAGAGGTCCTTGCCGCCACTTGACGGGAGACCCAAGCAGCAGTGCAAGAGGCCGTGCCGCAGGCGGCCTGGGCTCCGCCGTGTCCACCTGCCCACACGTCCTGAGCCCGCCGGTGCTGCGGCCTGGAAAGTCCACCAAAGGCGCCATGCCCTCTTCTCGGCCTCAGGGCCACCAGGGAGTGCTGCCCCACTCTGACTCCTGAGGTGGCTGGGCTCCTGCCCAGCCAGTCCACACCAGGCCGGCGCGGGTGTCTGTGACACTGTGACCACCCGCTGCAGGCCCCGCTCCACGCAGAGCCGTGTCCGGAGCAGAGCGTGGGCGGCAGGGTGCCAGCTGTGCCCTCGAGCCGCCCTCCCGGGGCAGGGTCCCAGGGTCCCTGCCGGCCGGGGGTGACGCTGTGTCGCCCATCTCTGGGCCTCGTTTACGACGAGGACGAAGGAACCGCAGACAGGAACCGCAGGCCCGGGCTTCAGTGCCGTTGTTATAAGTCTGCTAGCACGTGCCGGTCGTCTTTCTTGTCATGTTCTTTTTCTCTCGTTTCAGGTGGTACCTGGAGAAGTTTGACAATTATCCAAAGTACAGAAAAATTATAATTCCGTTTTTGTTTTAAGTCCATGGTCAACGGGGTCCTCTTTGACTCGAAGCTTCGGACGTTTCTCTAGGGACTCAGAGAGGAGTTCTCATTCTGCTGTGGCGTCAGGGTTGGTCTAGGCGCTTTCCTGGTGAGCCCCAAACTGTGTAACCAGTGAATCCAGGGCTCCCTGGAGCCTCGCCCTGGACACCGGCCGGACCAGCCCTTCTCCCTTCCAGGGTCTGTAACAGGAGCTGAGGCCAAGACTGTTGCAGGTGGAGCGCCTGGAGGGGGCGCTGGTGAGGTGGGCGCCCCAGGGAAAGTGCTAGAAGCATCGCATTTTGGATAAGAAATGTTCTTGCAGAAGGGTGGGATTCAGTCTTCGGGATTTAAGGGTTTTGGATCTTCAGCATGTGGGGTCAGCGGATTCGGCCCCCACCTTGCTGACTTTCCAGAAGGCTGTTGCCGACCGGTGGGGATGGCGGAGCCCGGAACCCGGGCCTCGGGGGCTGCGCGTGGGGCCGCATGGGGCCAGTTGGCCACTGTTTCGCGTGTCGCTCGTCCGGCGAGTGTCCCTGGCCTGGGGCTGCGCTGGGGCCTCGCGGCTGGTCCTGGGGCACCTCCCGGGGCACCTGCTGCCGTCTCAGGAGTCGGAACCGGCTGAGTGTGGCGGCCGCAGAGGCCAGAGGATGCCGGCTGGGCAGGGGCCTGTTCCCGGGAGGGGCTGGCCCTTGTAACCATTTGCACGGGGCTGAGGGACACCGCACACGGCTCTGGGTAAAGTAAACCCCACTGCTGGCTTCAGTGACTGTTCTTCCTGGTCTGTTAAGTGAACCCCGTGGTGGTTCTCTGAGCCTGAGTGGGCTTCCAGCGGTGCGCGGGTGAAAAACTCAGCCACTGGCCCGCAAACCACTTGGGCGTGTCCTCGGCCTGTTTCATGCCTGCTACCAGTGAGTGCACCGAGCGGCTCCAGGGCCCAGCCCACCACAGCAGCTGGTCCAGGTCACAGGCCACGTGGCCTCCGCCCTCCCCAGGGCCTCAGGGGTCTCAGTTGCCGTGGGACGTGAGTCCCGGGGCTAAGAGGGCTTTTCTTGCCGCCGTCTCGGCGCACCGAGGGTTTTTCAGGTGCCTGTCAGCACCTCTGAGCCCCGCAAAGCAGCACCCTGAACCGCTTCTCACTTGGACGCCTTCTGAGGCCCGGGGAAGGTGACAGCCCCGGCTTAGCGGGCCCTGGGCGCTCCCCACGAAGGAAGGCTGCTGGCCCCCTTTCTGACAGGCTGACTTGGCATCTGGTCACTGGGACGCAGCACATGTGGCGGCCTCTGCCGGCCCCACAGCCTTGTGGCTGTCTGGCCCTGTGTCCCAGCCCGTGGGACCCCGGAGCTGGCCCAGGTGGAGAAGGAAGCCCCCGTCGGGAGCCGTGGGGTCCCGTGGCCACTCTGGACATCTCCTGAGCAGGCCTCTGGGCCGGGCTGCAGGGGACAGTCCTATGGACAGGACAGGGGCCTGCCCGCCACCCTGTGCTGGCCGGAAGCGCCTGCGTGTCCTGCCCCGTCAGGCCACCCCGGGGAGCACCCGGCCCCCACAGCACCCCCTGCCCAGCACCTCCCAGTCTCCTTATGTGGACCCTACTTTCAGTCCCCCATGCTCCCTGCATTTTGGGTCTTACGGTTTCAGAACTCTGCAAGCAACTGTGCTTCACTTTAACCCAAAACAAGGCTTTTGCAAAGAAATTTTATTACTAAGTGAACTCTGCTCTGACCCACCAACTCCTCGAAGCCACAGAGCAGTAAGCATTTTGGATCTTGGAAAGGCCTGCGCCGTCCCGCGGGCCGGGTGTGCCCTGGAGAGGGGCCTGGCCAGTGGCCGCTTGTGACTTGGGGGCTGTGGGTGCCGAAGGGGTGAGGTTTACGTGCACCACCCACGCAACCCAAGTGCTCTTCAGGCACGGGGCCAGGGGTTGAGCCAGTTCCAGCAGGAGGCTGGAGCTCGAGGGACTGTCCGAGGGGGGCCTGAAGGAGGATTTCACATGTGCAAGTTGTCAAAGGAAACAGGTTGTCAAAAGGAAAAGTCAAGTCACTGTGACTAGTGGGCAGTGACCACCTGCCTGGGTTCTGGCTGAAGAGGGAGGTGGGAGAGGGAGGCCTGGGGGTAAAGGGGGGGAGGGAGGGAGAGGCTGCCGAGGAATAAAGAAGCTAGGGATTGCCTTCCCTTCCTCTCTTCCTCCCCGCTTCTTCCTTCTCTCCATCCGTGTCCAGTCCAGCCACGCTGCTTCTGTGGCCGCTGCCGCTCTCTCCCGGCCGCCCGGCCCCTCCCCGCCGAGGGGTGTCCCTCCCCCCCCCCCCCCCCCCCCACCCCCGGTGTCGCCCTGGCGGGGCCCAGGCCCAGGTCCCAGGGCGGCTGAGCAGGAGGACTGTGGCCAGTCTGCCTGCGGAATGGCGCCTCCTTGGGGTGGCCCCGGGACCTCCGTCAGCCCCGGAAGGTCCTCTGTAGACTCAGAATCCCACCCAGGCCCACGGCCTCTCTCCGCCCGACTCGGCGGGGCCACCCCTGCTTCCCGCCCCTGCTTCCCGCCCACGGCACCTGCTCCCAGGCTCCTCCACGTGTCGCCTTCCACCCTCCTCCCCCACCGCCCCCTTCTGACCCCCGCGGAGCCGGCAGAGCCCAGGTGAGCTCACGCGCTGCGCAGCAGACTGCGGCCCCAGCCTGGGGACGTGGGGCGGCCACGTCCTTCCTGCTCAGCCCTTTGTTCTGTCCAACTCTCCACTGGCTGGACAGGCCTGCCCGGGGCGGGGGGGGCAGGGCCGTCTGCTTGGTCCACTCTGGCCTCCTCCAGAAACAGCTGCGCTGACACACCCAGACCCCAGTGGGGCCACGTGCAGGGCCCCACCACGTGAGGGGAGGCAGGTGGGCTCACCTGGGAAAGGCAGGGCGGGTGCGGAGTGCAGACACATCACCTGGCCGGGACAGCCACGTCCACGACACGCGTCCCGCCCACGCCCTGGCCACCCCCGCTCGCTCTCGCTGTCCCGCCCGCTCTAGGTCATTTCCAATGACCTGTCAGAGAAAATGAGTGGAACTGCCCGGTCAGCAGAAGCCCTTCCCGGCTGCGGGCCCGTCCGCCAGCGTCGGCCCTAATTAGCACCATCCATCACAGGCGCCCCGTCCCGGACTGCTGAAAGCTGACCGCTTTCTCGGGTTTGATTTTGTTTCAATGACATTCTCCACTCTTCCCTGAAGAAAATGGGGCTGGAAAGTCATTTATATCACGGCTGACTAACGGAATTCAGGGGTAATATTTCAGACCGCTCACCTTTCACTGATAAAACCTCATCTCTGTCCAGTCTGATACGAATGAAGGATCGTTGCC